CGCTCTCCCTGGGATGCGGCAGAGGAGCAAGAGGGAGCAAAGCGGCGGAGCACGCGGGCAGCGGACAGCTCAGACGCGTCTGGGCTGTCCGCTGCCCGCGTGCTCCTCCGCTTTGCTTCCTCTCCCTGGTCTGCTGGAGACCAGGGAGACGGGCCCCGTTCGTAACTGCGGATCCGACATAAGTCGGATCCGTGTAACTCGGGGACTGCCTTTACCTATATTTTAAGATGATGTTGATGTGATGCAGGGAATTTACAGACCATTATGCCTTTTATCTGTTCCTGGCAAATTGGTTGAAATTTTTACTGCAAAGAGAATAACAATATCCCTGGCAGATCATAATGTGATAGGGTCTATCCAACACTGCTCCTGTAAAGGAAAATAATATTTCAGTTAAACTCTTAAAAGTCTTTGAATATCTCAACAATGTAGTTGATAAAGAACAGGTTGACATAATTTATTTAGACTTCCAAAAGGCCTTTGACAATGTCCTACAGAGGGCTACTAAAGAAATTAAGTAATCACGGTGAAAGTGGCAAAATACTGTCATGGATCAAAAACTAGAAGATGGAAAGGAAAGAGCAGGATAAAATTGTCTATTCTCGTCATGGCAAAAGATTAACAGCAGGTACCATGCCTCAAAGTTCCATAATGATCTGGAAAGTGGGTTTAGTAGTGAGCTAGTAAAATTTGCAAATGTCACAGTTAGTTAGAAAAGCTGAAGTTATTTAAAAAATCGGAGGAAGAGCTCTGTGGAGCTCAAAAGCTTGTCTCTTTCACTAACAGAAGTTGGTCTAGTAAAAGATATTACCTCACTTACCTTGTCTCTTTCAGTTCTTTAGGTTAGTCAGGACCAGAGAGGGCTGTGAAGAACTTCAGAAAAACCTAAACAAGCTAGGTGAATGGGTAACACAATGGCAAATGAAGTTCAGTGTTGATAAATGAAAAATAATGCACATTAGAGCAAAAATTTTAAACTATTCAGTGATCTATCGGGTTCTGAATTAAATATACAAACTCAAGAGAGAGATGTTGGTGTCACTGTAGATAGCTCAATAAAGGCCCTTGCTTAATGTTCAGTTATAATCAAAACTAACAATGTTAGGATGAATAAGAAATGTGATAGCGATCAATGCAAAGTATTATGATGGCTTTATATAAATCAGTGGTAAAGTCTCATTTGCAATATTACTCTCTCCCCATTTCAAAAAGGATGTTGCAGAACTAGAGGGATTAAGAGAATAGCAATGTCAACAATCAGAGGCCTGGAAAACCTTTCATATATAAATCATAGAAGATTAGGGTTGGAAGAGAGCTCAGTAGGCCATCTAGTTCAATCTCCTGCTCAAAGCAGAATCAACCCCAACACATTCATTCCAGCCAGAGCTTTGTCAAGCCTGACTTTAAAAACTTATATGGATGGAGATTCTATCACCTCCCTAGGTAACCCATTGCAGTGCTTCATCCTCCTTCTATAGGTTGGACCCCGCCCCCCTTCCTCCTTCCAAGCACCCACAGGACCTGATCCGTCCTGGATGAGGGATTTTGTCGGACTAGGGTGTGGTCACTTCTGGCCCCAGTCCACCAGCCCTCTCCAGTCCTGGTTCGACCACTGCCCTCCCAACTGGCTCCCCCCCTCACTGGTCCTGCTGCCCTGTCAACCCCCTCTGCTCTACCAGACAGCCCCGCCACTGCTGCACACCAGGGTCCTGCTATAGCACCCAGCATCTGCTGTTGTGCCGGAAAGCCCAGCCACCTATGTGCATGCTGGACACCTGTTGCAGAGCCCTGCAGCCCTGCTGCCTTTGTGCACTGGGTTCCTGCAGCAGAGTTGGGCTTCCTCTGCTGCTCTGAGCAGCCCCAAAGCCTCTGTGCCGGGCTCCCGCTGCTGCACTTAGTGCTCCCACAGCCATGACAAGAAGCCCCGCTGCCACACGTGGGGATCCTGCAGCCGCATGTGGGGCTTCTGCTGCTATGGCACTAGCCCTCCACTGGGACTCTATTCCTGGAACATCTGTGGCCCTGCCAGACCACAGATGTTGCTGGACCAGAGAGTCCCAGTTAAGAGAGTTTCAACCTGTAGTCAAGTATCAGAGGGGTAGCCGTGTAGTCTGAATCTGCAAAAGCGACGAGGAGTCCTGTGGCACCTTCTAGACTAACTGAAGTGTAGGAGCATAAGCTTTCGTGGGCAAAGACCCACTTCGTCAGATGCGTGCAGATTTCTTTGCCCACGAAAGCTTATGCTCCTACACTTCAGTTAGTCTATAAGGTGCCACAGGACTCCTCGTCACTTTTGCTCCCACTGGGGAAGGCAGCTGGGCAGGACCAGCCTGCAGCCCACGTCCCTTTCAGCCCCAGGTGCAGGAGGTAACAGAGAGGGGACCTGTAGTGTAATAGTTTTTCCTAATAATCAGCTTAGACCTTCCCCATTGCAACTTAGGACCATTGCTTCTTGTTGTGTCACCACTGAGAATACCTTAGCTCCATCCTCTTTGAAATACCCCTTCAGATAAGGCTGCTTTACCCTGGATTCTCCATACCCTCAAATGCGTTAGGTCCAGTCCCATGCACTTTTACATGTCTAGCATTTTAAAATAGTCCTTAAGCTGTTCCTTCACTACAGAGGGCTGCTCACATCCTCCCCATACTGTGCTGCCCAGTGCAGCAGTCTGGGAGCTGACCTTGTTTATGAAGACCAAGGCAACACAAACACTGAGTACTTCAGCTTTTTCCACATCTGTTACTAGGTTGCGTTCCCCATTCAGTAAGGATCCCACACTTTCTCTGATCACTGTCGTGTTGCTAACATACCTGCAAAAACCCTTCTTGTATTCCATCACATCCCTTGGTAGCTGAAATTCCAGTTGCACTTTTGCCTTCCTGATTATTTCCACTTTGATCTACAAAAATGAAAGCTGCATGCAAATGGGATAATCATATGTAGTAGTAGATAACCTTTCCAGTGATATCTCACATGAACTATCTTGCATAAAGCATATCCTAGTTATGCCATATTTATATTTACAAGCATGCTCCTATAAAGAATATGGAATGCCCCATCATACTGAGGATTTGTAAAATCAGGTCTCTTATTTAGGAACCTATATAAGGATTTTGGTGCCTAACGTTAGGGTCCCGTTTTTTAAGATATTGATGATTGACATTATAAACACTGCCATGTGTCATGCAAGCTGTCACATGCTTCTCAATACATATCTCTGTCAATATGAAAATCAACTCTTTCTTTCCGTTTAAATGATAGAAATGGATTAGATCAAAAGAAGAGAAAGTACAATAGCTGAAGCTCAACTAGATATTAATCTGTGGGAGATGGCTTTGAAATAATAAATGTAACTTAACTATCTTTCTATGGGGGGGAAAGGGGTGAATTAGATGCCCCTGTGTGAGTCCCTTTCACCATAAAAGATTCTATCCAATATCAATATTACCTGTTTAATGAAAAAAATGATTTATTCACCTGTTTCTGTGTGTGTGTGTTTTCTTTTTGTTATTTTTTAGCTAAAATGTGATTCGGTAGTGAGCGAAATCAGCACTGGTCCAGGAACAGTGAATTTTACAGTAAATAGGGAATTATTAGCAAAGGTAAGTGTATTAATGCATTCAAAATATTAACAGTAAGGACAAATTAGCCCCTTTACATAGAAATGAAAAACATCTACTATAATGTTTGTTTTGAATGTAAAGTTCTACACTTTCTGGCTGTGTCTACGTTGGCACGATCTTGCGCAAAAGCTTGCTGCCTGTCTACACTGGCTGCGAGTTCTTGTGCAAGGACACTGATGTTCTAATGTATGAAATCAGTGCTTCTTGTGCAAGAACTATGATGCTCCTGCTCAATAAGAAGCACTCTTGCACAACTGTTCTTGCGCAAGAGGTCAGTGTAGACAGGCAACATGAATTTCTTGCACAAGAAAGCCCTATGTTAAAATGGCCATCAGAGCTTTCTTGCGCAAGAGAGCGTCTACACTGGCAAGGATGATCTTGCGCAAAGGCACATCTCTTGCGCAAAAGCACATGCCAGTGTAGATGCTCTCTTCTGGAAGAGTTTTTGCACAAGAACTCTTCCGCAAAAGAGTTCTTGCGCAAGATCATGACAATGTAGACGTAGCCTGTTTTTTTGTTTGTAACCCATATACTCCTCTCCAGGGATTAACTAAACAGCTGCCTTTTGTTATGCATGCTGAGAATTTGGAACTGGGTTCATAAGGATCTCTCCTTTAACAATATAAGGAAGCAATTTCTCTGACACTGTATGATAATTCTGACTTTTCTTCTCCTCTTCATTTTAAAGGCCAAATTTGGCCTATGATTTAGGTTCTGGTCCCAAAATGTGCAAATCAAAAATTTAATCTTTGTTTCTTGTGATCTAGAATAATGATCTTTGCTCTTTAGATTTTACCATATAATGGTTTATTACAAAACAGGATTGTCTCTTCTTTAAAGTCTGGTGGCTGATTGAAATAGACAGTTTTAAATGTTAAACCAAGAATTTGCTAGAGGAAAGTTGGTCATTCACCTTCATCATGGCTAGTATTATCCCAAAATAGGCCTTGATTTCTGGGCCCTTGTTTCAAAATCCTTAGGAAGATAAGTGAATGATTGGTACAGGTAGACCCAAAAGTCCTTTTGTAGGTTGGTTATTCAGCTTGTTGAGCTAGGTGTACCATATAGTTCTGGAAGTCTAAACCAGAGATTAAGCAGTGGATTTGACAGATTGTCTTGGAAGACTGCCTGTCTGTTTCCTGGGGACATGAAAATTCTGATCTATATTGGTGAGGCCCAAGAAGTTATCTTTTCCTGTAAAGACTTTTATATTATGGTCATCAATTTACATGTAACAAAAATTAAGGATACTGTCTGCTTCTTAGGTGTGCACATAGCACTAATAGCTAATAATTGGACCTTTTTGTATTTCTTATCTTATCCTACAAAAACATTAACATAGTTAAAAAGCTATAAAATTATCATTTAATTTTAAACTGGTTGTTTATTATCCACCTTAGTAATATGAGAATTTAGTGTGACTGGTCTATCATGTTTTTATTGGCTCTTGTTTTAGAGTTGATTTATGTGCACAATTTGGCCAAATTGTCAATTAAGTCACAAGTTTCTTCTCCTTGGGCACTGTTCAGCACTTCTTATTCAAACACAATGTGCACTGGCAGACTGACTTCATGGTGAGTTTTTCCAGACTCGGCACAGGATTGGGGCATGATTATAAGGGAGAGACAAGGTTATGAGGGAGAGACAAGTTTGCTGAAGAGACAGAGGAGAACATGGGGGAAAAAAAAGACAGACCCATATCTCTTTAAATAAAATACCACTGACGTATTATAATTTTGCTTATCTAATGGAATTGACCCAGATACTGTAGGTGCCATAATAAGAGAATATAAAAATTCTGAAGATCAATTCTGTTTCTGCATTTCTGCACTAGTGGCCTTTAAGCCTTTCTGTAGAATCCTTGTATTCTTTGTGAAACTCTTTGTTCTTCATGGATATGTCATTTCATATGGGTAAGGCACCATATACTCTTCACTAAGCCCTCCCTCCCTCTTTAGCCCAACATGCTACATTTTGTGGAACACAGAAATTTCTATCACAGACAAGTATATACAAAAACAGATGTTTATTGTATTAATAGAATCCCAATAATACAATCAGTACAGTATTCCTTTTTTATATATTGCACTAGAAGATTTACCCAGCATTGCTTGGGTCCTTAACTCAAATAAGTTTTGTTTTTCTTCATTTAAATCATTTGTTTTGGGAGTGGGTCTGGGGTGAAGGTTTCAGTATGCAGGCTACTCCAGGTAGAGAAGACAACCCCAGCTTTCTCTCAGTGCAGCAGCTGGGAGCCAGGTGAGAAGCACCTGTCCAGGGCCACTGCAGCTCTTGCCCAGCTGGAGAATAGACACAATGTAAAACAGTCTCACACTCTGAAATACATAGTATATAACTGTCCCTTCTTCCACCTCTGTCCTCAACTGTCTTGGTCCCCCTCTCTGGCCCCGTGTGGTCATTCTGCAATATTACTTTCTCCTATCAGACCCCTTCCATTTTATGAGAAACAATCAAATTCTAGACACATCCTGTTACCTTGGCACCACCAAACTCTTACCTTGCTTCAAGTTATGATAAATTTGATAGTCCTAGCTCTTACCGTTTAGGAGGAGTTCTTGAACAGACAGACTCACAGACTGACAGACAGAGATACACCCACCTTCCTAAAATATATACAGGAAGCCCCCGACTTGCGACACAGTTGGTTCCAGAGGAAGCGTCATAAGTCGAGGGCGTTGTAACTCAAACCTGCATTTATGGTAGGTGCCATACGCCATCATAAATGCGGGCTGAGAATGTAAATCGGGGGTTTCTGGCCCCTTCCACATTTACAAAAATGTAAGTGCGGGGGGTCAGAACTCAGGCGGTCGCATCTCAGGGGCCTCCTATAGTAAAATTAAATGAAAACTTCAATTTTTAATGTTTTTCAGTATATTTTAGCCAGCCTTTATAATTCCAAGGGCAAAAATGTTGTGGGGTGAGTGGTCCACTAATTCTAACCTAACCCTACCTCTGAAGTTTCTTCTTTAGCCCGCTAACCTGTATGACAAATGGTAATATTATTGGAAATTAGTTTTTTCTGCTTTTCTGATTTTTTTTTCACCAAAGTCTGTGGGATTTTGCCTATTGGTACCTAGAACATTCCCTGAAATTTTGAAATTGATGGGATGCAGCTTTCAAAAATTGGTGTGTTACAGACATATACAGGCAGTCCCCGGGTTATGTACAAGATAGGGACTGTAAGTTTGTTCTTAAGTTGAATTTGTATGTAAGTCGGAACTGGTACATATTGTAGGGGAAACTCTAGCCAAACATTTCTCCAGAGCTCAGTTTTATTCTCCCACACCTCACTTCCCTCAGTCCTTTATTCTCAAGCTGAGGTGTCTGCTGAGAAAAGCCGCTCCGCGTCTCCCTGGTCTGCTGGGGGGAAGCAGCTAGTGTGGGGTTGCCTCCCCCCATTTGTAAGTAGGGATCCGATGTAAGTCGGATCCATGTAACCCGGGGACTGCCTGTATTCCAAAATACCCTTTTGTTGAGTGTGGGCCGGGGCCTTGCTTTGCATAATCAACTATGCATATAACCCACAGTGAAATTGCCTACATGTATAAGTGCTGCAGGATTAAGCTCTCAGACAATTAGTAAAACATTAAAAATCTTTCCTGTTTGCTTTTTTCTGTTCATGAAGAACATTTTCTAGCCATTTTTTCTTGCTTTTTAGACTGTGTTGCAGCAGGTATTTAAAGATGGCTCAGAATATGGAATAAAAAGTGAGGTTTTCTCTACTCTGACCAGAAAAAAGATAGTGATTGAGTTTAGGTGAGTACATGGGTCAAGTCCTTTTACAAGAACTAATAAAATGCCTTATGTTCTTTGATAACCAAGGTGATATTGCTGCATTGTCACATGTATGGTATTCAGCTACATTAGTACATGAGTAACTTATTTCCAGATATAACATATATCATTTTGGAGGCTTTTTATTCCTTAGAACTGCTAAGTACCTCTTCACTATTTAGTGTGATGGTTCAAGCTTTCATTTGTCCCTCATGGAGAATGGTAGTCTTTTGTGTTTTAATTAATTCTGTTATAAAGAAACTAGCAAGAACTGAATTTTCAGCCTTGAGTCTCCAATATTTAGGTTTTAACTGACCTTCAATTATTATGGGTGATGTTTTGCATGCACAGTTATTTGAACCTGCAGTTTACATCATTTGATGCTTACATTTGAGATTTTCAGGAGCAATAAGCATTTGACTCTGGACACAAAACCATTTGTGCAAAATTGTGTCACCAGTTAATTTGTTCTTGAAGAAATAGATATGTGGTTAAGACACTTTATTTCAGGATATCTGCACTGTACTCTGGTTTATTTTTCATTATTATTCATTTGTGCATCGTCTGCCAGCTGGTTAGGTTGGCAACTGAACAGCAAAGACACTGTCAGGTCAGAAATAAGTAGTTGGCTTTTTTAAATTTTGTGCTGGATGTTCAGACCCTGGCACAAATAATTGTGAGCACAATTTTGTGTCTACAAAAATGGATTTCTGTCTCTGATAATCAGCTCAAAATTATAAAAAGGCCCATTTACCTTAGTCTTTGCTGTGCTGTGACATGGTCAACCTGCCAGCAGAGGGAGCACAAGAGAACTAGCAAATCAGGAGAAGCAAACTTGAAATGCCCAGAGGTTCCTTACTAAATTATTCTGATTTTCAGAAGTAAATGAAACCACTTTGGCTTGTTTTCACTGGGGGGAGGAAGATGGGATGTGGCACAGGCATGAAAACATTTCCCAGATTTCTGCTCTGTTCTGGTGGGGTTCTGTTGAATTGAATCCCTGCAGATAGTAATACTTGATTGCAGTTATTTGGGGTTGGTGCTTGAAAGCGAGTGTGTCCTGAAGGGCATACGTACTGAGTAGGGATTTGTATGACAGCCTTACATTCTTAGAGTCAATGTGACTCCGCTGCAAGTGACTAGTTGAGTCTCTACTCGACTAGTTGCTTCCCCCCACTTGCTGCCTCTCTGTTAGAGGGAGCAAAGGGGAAGCAGGAGCTGGTGCTGGAGGGAGCCATCTTAAAACTAGTTCCTCCCCAGCACTGTCTGTGGAGGGCCAGGGGAGGCAGAAGCGCAGCAGAGGACCGGGTGCGAGCTGGGAATCAGCTGTCCCAGCTTACACCCAGTTCCAGATGTGTGCCTCTGCCACCTGGCTCTTACTCTATTTAAAAAGCATTTAAAAGTGTCTGGGACCAGGCACAAGCCAGGACAGCTGATTCCCAGCTCACGCCTGGTCCCCTGCTGCACCTATGTCTTTTAAATGGAGCAAGAGCCAGGTGGCTCTTACTATATTTAAAAGGCAGGGCCACAGTTGGGTTAGCTCCGGGGGCCATGAGCTAATAATCCCTCTGTGGCTCTGAAGTTTCCGTCCTTATCAACAAATTGCATTTAATAGGCTAATCGAGTAGTGAATGGAATTTCCATCAACTACTTGATTAAACTTCCCTAATTTACTCCTAGGAAAGGAGGTATCTTATAAAAGTAAAGGTCTGTTTGGAAAAATCCATACTTAACGTAATTTTTATAGATATCAGGTGCAAATACTTTATCTAGTTAGGATTCTGTCTGAGAAGTTATTTGTACTGTAATTTGGAAGGCATTGTTTTGGATGCTTTGCCTTCTGAAACAAAATTGGGACCTGGATCTCAGCTCATAATTAGACTAACCTGGGATTTTTATTGTACAGGATGGTTACTGTGTGTTTCTTCTGCACTTTTCA